GAAGACTCTTCTGCACGATCTTCTCGAGCGTCTTTGCCAAAACAGCCGTCAGGCAGACCGGCAGACAGTTATCCACTTTGCTTGGGTTACCACCTTTCGGTATTGGCTTTACGACTAAGCATTTCCAGTCGTCTGGTAATAGTCCAGTGGATACTGACCTGTCGAACAGCTCAGTTACAGAAGGCCAGATGATGGGCGATAGGGACTTGAGGATCAGTGGGTGGATTCCATCTTGCCCGGCAGGCTTCGTCCCGTCAAGACTTGCAAGACGCTTGCGTACATCTTCCATGCTGCAATCCACGCTGTCTAGTTCAGCGGGAGCGGTACTCGTCGAACTAGTTACAGACACCTGATCACTTGCAAACACGGAGGCGAAGTGCGCCGCCAATGCAGACGCACGATTTGTGCTCGAGGTTAAGGGCTGTCCAGCTGAGCCTTCCAACACTGGCACATTGCTTGCAGACCTCAGGCGCCGCTTCACATAGGTGGAGGTCCTCTTGGGAGCAGTTTTTGCGGCGGTTGCAAGCTTCTCTTTGAAGCTTCTGTGCTTTTTTGTCTTCGCGTTGTTGCAGATTTCGCGGTACCTTGTACGTCTTGTACTCCTCGGCACAGATAACATGAAGTTGTGCTATAGTCTGCGTTGTCGTCGGGCCAGTTTGCTGTACTCCTTGTCGAACCAGTGTGAGTTGACTGGCCCAACTTTCCGATAATTAAGGGGTACAAATCAGGCGCACAACAATTTCACTCCCACTTTAATGATAGTTCAACAGGTTTCAATAGACGAATCCCCTGGTAAAGACCAGTTCATCTGGCTCGCTGCTCGAGTGAACCCATTAAAGTCCGCCTTCAAATAGTTGATGGCTGGCTCCAGCGGGGGAGAATAACGCAGCGGACGCTCCAGGCTGGCTATGATCATCGAGTGATCACTCGCTCCCAGGGGCTCAAAGACTAGAATATCATGCACACGTTGCTCACAGATGGTCAAAAGCAGGCTTAAGCACGATGGAGTCGCGCGCGCAGTTATGCGCATCTGTTTGTTGATGTGCTGTGTGGTCCCGGTTTCAAATATCAACGCCGTAAACTTCCTCCAGACTTCACAATGGCGGGGAGAAGTTCAGCCTCAGACCACTGTATTCGGGGTAAGTTGAAATCGCCCATAAGCAGGAACAGCTGACGACTCATTTCGTTGCGGATATGCGGCAACCAGTCCAAACAGCGGTTCAGTGGACTGCGATATACCACGCCTACGAGCATCTCGCAGCGTCTGAAGTGAATCGAACCCCATAACTGCTCACATAGACCATCAGCGCTTCGGTAGGAAGACTGTATGTAAACCAGAACACCACCACGATCATTTGATGGTCTAGCACAGGGAAAGCAAGAGTAGCCGCAGATTTCCACATCTTGAGCGGTTCCGTCAGAGTTCAACCATGTCTCAGCAAGGCCTAATACGTCTGGCCGTAGAGGTTACAAACTATTACAGCTCATCGCGTTTGTTCATCAGACTGCAGACGTTAGTAAAGGCTACGTGCAGGCCGCGGTAGGAACTGCTGGGTGCGCCTGAAGTATCAGAAACCAGTTGATCCGGATTCGCGGAGGAATGTGGGTGATTACCCGAAAATTTACAATACGGAGATTTGTTTCTCCATCGGCCTGCCCTCATCCACGTCGAGAAGTCTATCAATCAGGGTTTGCAAAAACTCGACGTCATGTTCATAGCGCACCTGAGGATTGGAGTCACAGGATTCAGGTGCTTGAAAGACCATGAGGCTGCGGCGCCTCAGATCGCTGGACATTGTTCTTGGTTTCTTTGGTAGTAGCATTTTCCATTCGTTATCACCAATTTGTCTATTGCAAATTAGAGTTTTAGTGCCAACTGAAGAAATGGTAGGGCTTGAAGCCGAGCCTGCCGGAGCGTTAGCACTTTGCTCCAGGGAAAGATTCGCTGTCGTACTAAGTGCTGGCTGTTTCTCTGATTGTCGTGCAGCACAAATCGAGCTGCGCGTTTTAGCACACTTCGCTCTACTGATCCGCTTGTCAGGCTTCTCGGTTTTATTCGTTTCGGATATGCAAAACACGTCAATACCCAGTGTGTCCAACGTGCGTGGGAGTGCAGCCTGTTGACCTATTTGTTTTAGAGTGCGAACGTTGAACGCCGTCATGAAAACGACAGAGTGGCATTATAAGGTGCTGTTACTGGTAGGCGTCCGATGAGTGTTGTGGGAAGGTGGCTGCAGACGGTTCTACTCCAGTGGCACTCCGATTGCTGTCAATTAAGCTAGGAATTACAGTAGGTAGGTTAGTAATGGGGGTCGGGATGGGAAATAAGGAAGCGCCAGCAGTAGCATGTTTTCGCTTATCCGCCCTGCGGTATGCAGCAGACAAGGCAACCCTTGATAATCTGCGAGACGGCCGATGTAGGATGAAGTTTACATTTGATGAAAAAGTCATGGTTGTATGTGGACTGAGATACTACAAGGGCGCCCAGACCTAGACCTAGGGTCCTCAACCAAAGACTTTGGCTCAAAAGCCAGTCCGCAAGGCAGCGGGGAGGTGGAAATGATTCAGTTTTACGGAAATGGACGTCATCCCATTTCAAACCCATAACAAGGAGGACAATGAGACTGAATTTGTCTGACCTCTCACCAGTGACCAACCTGATGGAAGTAGCTCTCAAGGAGCCCGGAGGCATCACCCAGTATAGCTCAATGGGTTAAGAAGGTACGCAAACCGTAGCACGACGTTAAGGTTCAGAATCGCTGCGACGGATCAACTGTATATCAACAGAACATCGAAAGCGCGAGGTGATTTTGTCAATCTCCGCCACCTGTGGCCCCGGCGCGGCATCTCGCCCTGAAGCGCAGAGTTTACAGTGCAACAGTCCGTTCAACCCTCCTGTACGGTTGCAGAACCAAGCTCATCCGATTTACAGACACAGAGGCTAGTTAGGTTTGATCATCGCTGTCTTCGCAACGTAGCTTACATTTGGTGAGTAATGAACTTGTTCGGTGTCGCGCATTCGGTGCAGGAATAGGGAGTGAACCGCTTAGCACCGTCATTTCAAGCAAAAGGCTCCGATGGCTGGGCCAAAGTGCAAATACCAGCACACCGACTCCCGTGACGTGTGTTGTCCGCGCGATCGGGTGGAAAAAGAGGAGGGGTGGTCAAGCGATGACTTGGTAAGAAGGTACGAAGAACCTCACTTAGAACTTGGCATCGGTTAGTGTCTCTCAACTGTCGGGCACGTTTGGTTGGTTACACTTTTTGACATAGTGAAAAGCCGGCCTCAATAGCGTTTGTGTTGTGAGCTTCACTGGTTCTCCCCTCCCGCTTATCTTCCAATCCAATTATGGTCTCACACTCTGGGGATCGCCACTGAAAAAAGCGACATGAGTAGCATAGTCCGAATCAGTCGCGCGGCTACCTGGAAAAAGCTGTACACCAGAATGTTGAGTGCCTCTTAGAGTTCGCAATAGGATATCCTCAATCGCAAAATCGAACAGAAATGGCAACATTGGGTATCCCTGTGGCACATCGCTTGTGAGGACGAATGGAAGAGCTTGCCGCAACCCCAAGACATTGAAGTACAATGCTTGAAACAAGGGGGTATACGTTTGCAGACATCATAACGCAGGCCGATCGACTGAGTAGAACGCAGCGTGGATGTTCCAAAAAGGCAACATCGATAGGCTAATGGTGAGGCTACTCGAGGAGTTGGAGGAGTGTCAACCTGTGGTTTACGCATCCTTGACCAGGGCGGAAACCAACCTGTTTTTCACGGGAGTATAATTCTCGACTAGGGGTTAGTCTGCGAAGTGGAATGGATGTTAAAAATTTGGAAAAAACGGAGATGAGAACGATTCCTCTGTGGTTAGTGTATAAAGCACGGGCATCCTTCCCAAAGATCAAGACGATAGACTCGCACCAAAATGAAACATTTTCTTTACATCGAAAAACGAACAGATGGATGGGTGTTCAGCAATCCACCATCAATACGGTGCTCCACGCGGACATGGTAGCCAAGCACATTGAAAGTACAAAGCATCATGGCAGTTAAGTAAACAAGATAGGGACCAAGACACAATCTTGCTTTACACTAGAGACAACATTAGTCATCCAAGAATTGTCCACACATCTGATGAAAACCATTTTACACCAAATGTGTCTACAACTTGTGAGTGTCAAATAGTCACAGACAGGAAAGTATTATGTAAAAAAGACAGTCACGACTGTGAAAGCATTAATGCGGTTTTCCACAACGCGCAGCATGTTCATCCCAGTCCCAGGACACGTTCAGCCCGGAGCATGTGTCGCACCCCCTCCCCCATTCACTGGTCGCTTGTCCAAACACCATGTTTATGCGTGCCATTAAACTCTCACCCTGTGATTGGACTATCCATTGATTGGTCAACGCCATTATTCTTAATACTCGTAGCCCTCAGGTGTGGTGACTTGTTCATTTGATTGTCCGGCGTAGACAACTCGTCCCTCCTATTGTTTACTGACACCTTGTTGTCAACTTGCATACACCGGGATACTGAACAATTGAAGTATGTCCCAATCATCAACTGTATATATTGTAATAGTACCGTAGTATTTGTGATCCGACTTGTTTTGATTTCGGGATCTTTGGCTACGCGTTATTCAACGTTCATGTCATATTTCGACATGAATGGGGTAAAGCAATCAACATCACCCCCTGCCGGCCCGCAGGCCTTAAGGATCACAAGCCTGCCTTGCAATCCGAGGGTGCGGGTTAAAGTCTGTGTAAGGACCGGGCGACCCTCACGGTATCCTTAGTGCGCGTGCGACCGGTTGTTGTTGTGGGGCAGCGAAGCTTCGGTAGTGCGTACCGCCTGATGCCTTTACTGTCATTCAAGGTTAAAGCAGCCAATCGCAGAAGTAAAGTTGAGAAAGTTGCCAATGCGCAAATAAAAGGAGGTAAAAGAAAGAGGGTGGCAACAAAAATGACGCAGCAATGGAAAAATGGAGTTCCTTACATGTTCTTTACAAACGGCCAAAATTCTTTCACAGTGACACTTCAGATTTTCTCGGATTTCATCGACTTTGCGCGTGACTTCATCAGAATCATTGCACGATATAGATGGACCGTGGACATTCGGAGTGTTGTGGGGAGCGTACTCATCCGGATTTGACGTCACGGAGGAGGGTGGTGACGTATCATTGATTAAATTTGAAACTATTTCAACGAGCGCATTTACGTCAGATTGCATATCTTCTGCAAGCTGAAGAAAGAAGTCCTCCAACAAGTGTGACTGCGAAGGCAAACCGCATATATCAGGCAAACGTGAGGAACCAACGTCTATACCACACAACGGGGACAGTGATTCTGATTCGGTAGAAGAGGAGGAGGGCAAATTGGCGGCCGCCAAAGATGCTTCAAACAATTCAAAGCAAGTTTGAGTTCCAATGGCGGAAAAACTCTGATGGACTTGTATCCCAATATCCTGGGTTTGGAGAAGACCCGATGGTGGCGAAGGAGAACTGAATACAAAAGCAAATAAGCATACAGAAAGATTGATCAGCTGCAATGTAATTAAAAAGCGATGGAGCGGATCTGTCTAATGGCAATCAAGCAAAAACATAATAGTAATAATAACAACAATAATAATAATACTAATAAAAGGTATATATTTTGTAGTACCGAGAAAGCGAGCCCACAAAGGGACGGATCATATCATCGACTTATTGTCAGTACCTATTGACGTAGTGAAACAGCCTGCTAGAAGAGACTGCCAAATTATTGAGGGGCATGTCTGCACGTAAATAGGTGTCTGGATTGTAGTACGGTGAGGATACGGCGAAGAGGAAAGTATAATCGGCAAATATGCTTCAAACGTGACAACACCAGTAAGGAATCCTAGCCAGAGACAGAAGTGTCACAGGGAAAGAAAATGGGAGCCAACTTCCGGATGGTGGAGGCAGACCGGGCTAAGATGATTATTGATCGGCAGAAAAAATTGTGATCCTACTAACAGTTTGGTGAGATTACACAGGATCCTAGGCTGTTGTAAACGGCTCCTGTGCAAAGTGCAACATTTTGGGATACTCGGAAAATAAAACCTTGCGGTTGCGGTAACCAGAGCAAAGTGCGACACAATCGCGCTGGGTTGACACATCATCACGTCAATCATACTGCGGTGCCAGCGCATCGCTTAGATTTACTAGCTAGTGTTTGGGGAAAGGCCATCCAATGCCTCACTGGTGTCATAAAATAAAATCTCGTTTGTTGGATTGTCATGTACCCTATATGCAAACAAGTCGGCTACATAGGAATATACTGTTTTTTCTTATGGTGACCAACAAAATGATGGGGTAGTTGGATGGAAATACTCACCGAAAGCATAAATCATGTTTGTGTCATATTACCTGATGAGAACTTCGGGAATGACCACCTCAGCGGTTGGACACTATCGAACATGGCGACGTTGCCAAATCAGTGGTGCTCCTGAGTAAATTTATGTATTTCTGACCTACAGACACCGTTTGAGTTTATTTCGGGCCAAACACTCTCACGGTATTAGTTACTATTACTGTTACTTTCATTCACCAAATGTTCCCGACAAACCTTGAGCAGACACAGTCGCGTATGTTCGCAAAATCTCTGCTCCGTCACGCTGCTGTCCGCTCACTCGGGGCGAGGGGCAAAGTTATGAGCGAGTTCAACATGTTACCACAAGGCTCATCCCCAGTTTACGAGGTGTGCCATATGAAGACCGATGCAAAAGACTAGAGTTGCGGGTTGACCTCATCGTAACGCACCGGATATTACATCTGGGCGAATGCCCATGTTGAGGCCTCTGCTGCATCTGCGCACACCAAGCAGCACACGAGGACACCGGTACAAGCTTGTCGTACCGGATTTGAAGCGGGTCGCCCACCAACTCTGCTTCGAGCGGAGGGTAGGGAATGTTTAGGACAACCTACCTGCAGAGATAGTCGGTGTGGGAGTTTAAGAAACTCCTGGACACACTCCTTGCAGACTAGAGATATCAGGAATAAGCATCGTAATAATTTTTAGAGTTGTTTGAAAAATATTAGATTTAGCTACCCAAAGGCACCTCTACTCGCTGCATTTCCTCAGTATCAGTATCGGTATGACATATGAGTGCCCACACTCATTCGGTCGGGCTTAACGAAAGCTATGTGACCCACTCAATCATTTGGATATAATCCGTATGGATCACCATCCCTCGGCAATTTGCACCATCGGTGTGTTCCGTGTCGAAACTCAGGCGTACAATCACAATTCAAAGACCGACAAGGCCAGTTTCGTGTTAGGCCTGGCGACTAAACGCCTTAGAAGTACAACGCCACCGCGCGGTCTTAGCCATGAACTTCACTCTCACCCACTGCTCTACTGTTGCTAATGTGTATGAGATCGCCGATCATTTGAAGCGGTTTGTCTGATACCCCCTTCACTTACCCTATATTGTCGGCCGTCTTGCCAGTATCATGTGACTGGACGTTTGGTCAATACACTGGCCGGTGCGGTGAAATATTTGTTCTAACGGCTATACGCCCCACCAACCGCGGTTGTAACAGGAAGCTCTCTAAAGAGCTCATAATCATCTATCGGTTGCTCTGCAAGGTAAGTATAATGAAAATTGATTCTATCTATACGGTCATTTCCGCATCACTCGCAAGCTACCTGAGATCAAATTCACTTGGCAACAATCCGGTATTCGCATTCACCGCAGCCCATCCGATAAATCGCGTGCAACCACGCGCGTAAACCTGCGCAAGTCCACTCGTGCCTCTTCTAGCCGTCCACATCGGACTGCGCCCTGCATTCAATCACAAAATTAGTAAGGTCAGAGTTCAGCCGGATCTTCCACTAGCAGACGGGCTGAAGTTGAAGGCCACCAAAGATCAAAAAACAGCTAGGTGGCTGATGAGTAAGGCATCCGTCTTATGGGTTTTAGGTAGTCAGCCGGCCCACCAAAACATATCCTGGGAGCGCACGACCCAGGGCTGAGGTAGTACTAAGCAATGTGCGTAGCCTAAGGAACAAGGTGCACGAGTTGAGTCTAGCTGTAGACAAATATCGTTCCGACATACGTACTTTCAATGAAACGTGGTTGTCACCGAATATCACGGACGGTGAAGTATGTTTGACTTCCTACGAGCACTGCTTAGAAGTGAACACTCCATTGGTCGTCAAGGCGGAGGCGCTGAACTTTAGGTGAGCTATAAATCAGATGTGTTGGGGACTCATACACCTCAGTCGTTGGATCAAACTGTTGAAGCCATGCCGGCTGTTATGTTCACTTCCTCTGCCCGGTTCACAGTAGTAGAGGTATCCAGCAATCCTGGAAGAACTTCTGCAGGTATTATTGACTTTATTCGCACTCAGGCTGCGAACAGGTATCTGGTTCTAGGGGATTTCACCCTACCTGAAGTCTGTTGGGTTGATCTTTCGTGCAATTCGGCGTCAGGAAAGTTCGGTGCAGACATTATTGAGCTGATCTCCAAAGTGCCGTTGCACCATTCCGTGAACTTCCCCATTAGGTAAATAGATACCCAAGTACCATCCACTTTAAATCTGGTTTCGCCAAGTCCACCGACTTCGTAACTGACGGCTGGAATGGTACGTATGCCTATCCTTACTGTGTGCTCTTTCAAGGCGCTAACACACTGTCGCTGAATTACTTCTAATAGTTAGCGATCGGACTATAGTGTAACGGGAGCTAAGGCTTCAGTTCTGAACTGTGGGATCTCGGTGGCCGACTCTGTCATTAGTCTGAGAAAATTCAAGCAGATTTCTGCTCCCTACACTTCACTCATGAGGAAAAGGGAGCAAAGGGCACGGCGTCCATGGATAGCTTCCACTAGCAAATACCTACTCACGAAACGATATAGATGCCTGTGAACCTACCAAGCAGCTCTATTAGCTAGCACCTACGACAGTTATCGAGAAGTCAGAAATAAATATAAGCAACATCTCAGGACTGATCGTCTCCAATACCAAAAGGCTTTGGCTGACTCGGCCGCAGCTAATCACAAGGTCTTCGCTTACGTAAAGAGACACAGCGGTGCAAATCTGTCGATACGCATGCGCACACCGACGATGATAAGGCTTGTGTACATAGCGAATAGTACAGAGCCTTCGTTCCTGAGACCTCTTTCCCATAGATCGAATTGGTTTCAAGGGTTCCAGAGGATGCTTGTTCAGCTGAGCTTAGTTTAACGGAGATTCAGATCGTGGGACTATTGCAAGGCATAAACCCCTATAAAGCCTCCGGCCATGTGTCAATTCATCCGAAGCTAATGCATGAGATGGCCGCTGAACTAAGTAGTCGTCTCATGCGTGTTTTGAAAAGCGCTTGAAACCTGCGTCTTACCTTCGAAATGGAGGAAGGACATGATTTGTCCGATTTGTAAGAGCTGTGACAGATATCTGCCTGCGAACTACCGATCTGGCAGTTCGACAAGCGTAGTAAAGTTGTCTAAAAATCTGGTGACTTGTTGGAGAACCACCTGAACAAATTTAACCTTCTCAGTGTCGCGCAACATGGATTTCGCGAGGGATTTTTGTGTTAGACTAATCTACTTGTGGCTCGTGAACGCTGGGCCGAAGCGGTCGACAGTGGAAACACTGTAGACGTGCTATTCGCGGACTTCTCGGAAGCTTTCGACACTGTTTCTCATTCTGAACTGTCATTAAAGTTGTGGCCTTACGGGATATCTGGTAGCGCCCTTAAATGAGTGTCTGCTTTCCTGTAGGGGAGGGAACAGTGTGTACACGTGAAGCGTATTATTTCGCTTAGTCAAGCTTTTCTTAGTGGTATTCCGCAAGGCTTACTACTGGAGCCATTGTTGTTCGCGAGAGTTATGTGAATGAGCCGCACTGGAAAACTTGGAGTGTCGTCGCTAATGTCTGCCGCTGACTTGAAGCTGTGAAATATCGTGGATATCTCTGGGGGTTCTGAGGCAATTCGAAATGCCTTAGATAGGATCTGGGAATGGTCTGCCTTATGGTTGATGTCCACAAGTGGGGTTAAGTGTTCTGTTCTCCGAATAGGAGCTACCAGTTGCCGGCGGGAGTGAAATCTCTGTCGTTACTCAGCAAGTAGATTTAGGTGATGTCCAGTCATCAACCCCTCATTCTGGCGACAATTGGAAGAAAGCCGCTTGTAGGGGTTTGTATGATGTTATTTATCCGCCATTCTTTAAAGACTTAACGGCAGATATGTTTGTGAGCTATTTTCGATTTTCCTGCGACGTCACTTGGAAACTGTATCCAGGCTTGTCTACCATGTCTTATCCGAGACAAAACAGACTTGGAAGAGGATTTTACGAGTGAATACCAGATTCGTGCAGGGCCGACGGGGACAGAAGTATCCCGAACGCTTGTTCAGTTTGGGGATGTACTCAATGCAATGATGGGACATGATACTCACTTACAGTATTTTGACAGGAAAGATTGACTCAGTCTTGTCTCGGCTATTTAGTTCCTCTAAGTTACCTAGTCTCTGATGAAGCTGCACAAACCACGCTCTGATCGGATTAAGGTTGAAACTCGTTTGCTGCGCCGTTATAGAGCGACGGAATTCGTTCCCTAGATCATGAGGTTAAGGAAGTTATAGTTAAGGATTTTGCACGTCAGCTCGATGCTATGAGTCGCAACACCAAACCTTTCCTTGCTCCCAAGTGATATCTTCAGTTTACAGTTTTTCATTGTTGTTTCTTCATATATCTCAGTAGCATAATTATTTGGTTACGTTCTTCTTTTTGCCTTCGGACTTTACTGTTTCCTCCGTTTACTTCACGTAAACGGCCCAAAAAGGACTGCTAATGCAGGATAGGTGAGTAGTAATTGACTGGTTAGGTGTGATGCGATCTTCGTTTTAGGTTCATCTCCATTTCAAAACCCTTCGTCAACTCCAGGTTCAACGACCCGCTAAAGAAGGAATACTCATGGGATAACCCTAGTGTTCCAGTCTCACTTGATCTTAGACATGGAACCAGAAAAGGTGGGATCGGTTAAATTTAATGAAAGAAAACAAGTGATGAAATACTGGAGTAATCATTTTTGGTCACTCCTGCTCCCCCCCCCGCAAACGTCTGCATTTGAACATATTTATTTATACTTACGAGGGTAGAGCAATAACTTTCCGGATACGCAGTACACACATTAGGTGCGGATGACCTGGTAAGAAGAATGTGAGCTGTAATCCACTCTGAACATTGTCCACTGATTTCAACTCCCAGAACCCTATATCAGCAGCCAGCACAGCTCACAATTCATAACGGTCGGTATACTCTGGCTGTAAGTATGAAACTCAGTCGATGTCACTGGAGGATGATGATATTCTATGAGTACAAAAGTGGTTTAAAGCAGCACCAGAATGTTGGGCGATTGCGTGCCGCGTTTGGTGATGATGCGCCTTCAAGAACCACCGTGTTTGAGTGGTTTGCGGAATTCAAGCTTGGTAGGCGATGCTTGAATGATGAGGCAAAGTATGGTAGATCTTCGGAGACCACTACTGCGGACAACATTGCTGCTGTGCAAGTGATGCTGGAGGAGGACGTGCGATTAACTGTGGTAGACCTGGGGAAAGTCATCGAGATCTCATCAGGATCAATTAGCGCCATTCTGCAAGAGAACCTCGGCCACGGGAAGATTTGCGTACGTTGGGTACCCATCAGCACAGTAAGGACCAGAAAGCAGCTCGAGTAAATTGGGGCCGCACCATATTTGCCAGGTTTGATGGTAGACGCTCCACTGCTGTTTGGGAAATAATCAGTGGTGATGAGACCTGGGTGTACAGTTTCGACTCAGAGACCAAGCAACACTCGGATCAGTGGACGGCCGTTGGTGGGGCGCCGCCTCAGAAATTCCAGCGTGAGCGCAGTGTGCCATAGTAGATAGTGGCTGTGTCCGAGATCAAGACTGGTCATGTGGCTACTGTACCGCTCGTACGGCAACACAGAGTCAGAGGAGACTGGTAGGCCACCCACCGTCTGCCACAAGTGTTGGAAGCTGTAGGCAGGCATCGTACAAGGACTGGAGCTCGAGGGACCTTGCTGCACTATGACAACGCACCTACACACAGGTCCCATGTCGCCGTAGATGTTGTGGCTAGAGAACGCATCCAGGTTGGTCACCCATCCTACAGTCCAGACATGGCTCCGTGTGACATCTTTGTGTTCCCAAATGGCAAGCGCATGATGCGTAGAATCCTCTAGGAGACTCCACATGCCTTTAGTGAGCTGCTTGAAGGGTTACCTGCTTCGGCATGGTCTAGCTGCTTCTGCAAATGGTTTGAACGCATGGAAATTTGCAAGAACGCTGGTGGAAAATACGTTAAGAAAATGTACCGCTTATCTTTGTAAAAAGTGAAATTTTATGCATCCGGAAATGTTTTGGTCTACCCTCGGGTAGTCGAGCATAAAACATATGTAATATACCGAATCTGACCCTGCCTGAGTTCATCTCGCAAAGTTGAGAAAAATACTATTTATTTATTCCTCCGTTGATTTATTTAAAAACACGATCTCACACCAAAATGAGAATGTGAAATAATCGCTCAGATGACAGAGGGTTTCATCAAACTGATGATCGTGTAGATTTGAGAACAATGCAGTCGGAACCAAGGATAGAGCTTCAAAATTAGAGAAAATGGGGGTCAATAGAAGTGTGGGGTTACGGTCTAGTTGAAAATTCATGCGCCACTAAGGTAGAAGCAACACGCGAAAACTTACCGATATGGTGGAAGTCCCTCATTGTCATAAGCTGAATTTGTAAGACATGTGAATGAAGAAGGATCGCTAGTTAAGCACGCATGAAATCAAACGTACTATAGCGAATAAGGCACGAAATGAGATTTCTCAAAGGTTCATAGTGAGGCGAGGTAAATGGATAAATGAGTTGCAAGCTGCTCTTCTATACGTTGTAGAAGAATCACGATGCAAATGACGGAGAAATGGTGCGGCACCCTAAAACACTACGATCTAAGCTGAGTGACTCTAAGGACTGTTGTGGGCAGCTAGTGTATGAAGCTCGGGGAAAAAGCCATGGATTCGCACAATCACGCCTTCCATCAGTGACAGACTAGTGATGTGTAAGTTAACTGACTAGTCCTGTGATTTGATCCACTGAACTGAAGCAATAACTTCAAAGACGTATACTTGTGTGCGTTCAGCTAAATGCATCTAGTGTGATTATGGCGTTCTTCTGCAGCATGAAACCACAACTAGATCCAGTTGAGAAACCTCGAAAGTGATGCGCATGAGGGTTAGAGTTAAAAGGAACCCAGTTATAGTGGTCCAGTATCTAAGGAGAAGCAGCGTACATACTTTAAGCAGTACTGTGCTTGGCCTCAGTGACTGTCATCATAAGTGTAACTCATGATGTTCACATGGCCAGTAGGAAAAGATGCGTATAACGCATGTGAACACACAGATATAGGCGACCCACCTGTTGATGTTCCAGACGATTCTGTTTGCGTGCAGACTTCACAATGTGCCTACGAATGATTAGAAGAGGAAAAGTGCTTTGTCAACGAAAAGAAACAGTATCCACTAGCATTCTCGAGTTTAAATGACAGAGTAGTGTCGCATAAAAAACCAGAAAAATGAGACATGCGACAAACAAATCGTAAGGTTAATCACACAATAAATGTGAATACTAACCGAAGTTAGTGGCCTTTCATCCACCCGTGAGGGTTCAGGGGCATGCGAATATTCCGTCAAACGGTTAGCTAAAAAGCGAGGTGACAGCACGGAACTGGGTGTTTGTGAAACCGGTTACAGTTTGGTAATTAAGAGACGACATCAATAAAGTAGTAATAATACGGGTTTACTCAACCTACTGGGTCCCTTTTTCTTTGAAATACGTTGGCAATTGGGAACAAAGCGCTCCAGAGGAGTTGTGTTGCTGGGGGGGTCAGTCTCAAGAGAAATAAGTGAGTCTGAAGTACTCGAGGACTGTGCATCAATCAGAGAAGTTTCTTGTTCCACTCGTCCCCGGAGCAATTCAATTTGTATCTTGGAGGCTTGCAGCTGTTCGTCTAGACTGTTTAAATGCTCCCTCTGTCGTTCACGTTCAGCAGCCACCTCAGCTCGTCGTGTATTGTCCAGACACACTAACTGCTGTTTAAGATCCTAAACAAAAAAGGTCAAAAGAAACCTAGTATTAAATGTGATTGGAGGAGAGAAAGAGAAAATTCAGAAATAAAAGTAACGGTCGGAAAAAAGCTCTAACCTCTGATTCATGAACGCTTGGTGGGATGTGTGAGTTGAGACTGGAATGCATAAGATACACTCACAGTTAGACAGTAACCCACCGAAACTGGTCCTATCTAAAAGAAAGTGGGAGGTCGGTGCTCACAGACTTGCTAAATTTTGAATGAGGCATTTCCCTCGCCCCACGCAGTAAACACATGATAACCTAATGAGCATAAGGTCAGATAAATGTCCGGATAGGTACGTCGTGCGCTGCTGCAGAAAAGATAAGCATGCAGACAATGCCTGTGGCGTACATGCGTAAAACCACTAAGCGTATTTCACTGCATTTTGAATATAAACACCAACAACTACGTAAAAGTATTCGAAACAATGACGCAGTCCTAACACGAAGGGTCAAGGATGGGATGCGCCTTCAACAGTGCACTGAGTTGCGAAAAGCGGTGCGAACCATTTCGGTCGTCCCAGTGTCCCTGTATATGGAGGCGTGCTGTTATCTAACGAGGTTCTGGAAATCTCACCGCAGGCACTAGGAAACCCTCTGTAGTCTTCCGTTGGGTCTGGATTAACAGTCGAACATCATCGAAGTGTTCCTTGTGTGTGGGAGTGGACTGCGATGCGTAATCCGTTGCCCACCGCGACCAAGTGGCTTAGGAGTAAAGGCTTCGGCTCGTATCCCAATGTCCACGCGTTCCGGTTGTAGTGCTGCTGCTATCTCTGCCCAACGAATGCAAGAAAGTACAAAATCGGATGTGGAGTGCACAGTGTGTTGCGTGCACGCGACGTCCATATAGTCGGGCATTACTTCCAGGTTTGCGTCTCAATCAGACATGCATTCTCCAAGATGCTGTAGCAAGTTTCAACCAATGTTCATCTCCTCAACCTTCGGTCCTGTGTGCATTAGTATTGGTTCTTCTGTCGTCAGTTGATTATAATTGGTTAGATAAACCTCTCAAAAATGCAAGGCAGATGTACAGACACAGCTCCACGGAAAGTTCTGAAATAGCTGTCAGTGAAATGCAAGAAATAGAACGTCGAACTTTGAACTTTTGTATCGCACATTAACTTGTCCGTATCTTCCACACGCTTTTCAGCCGGTTTCCTCTTGTCTGACAATATTGCATGTAGTTAGGTAAAAACCAGAGGTTGTCAGATGTAACTGAGCAACCGATGCCCCAAATCGAGTACAATGGTTAGGAACAGTGTGGGAGAGGTCTAACAATGTTTATTTTGGAACCGGTTTATCAATCCAAAACACACGTACTAATATGTCACAGCAGATTAATCACGCGAACTTATTCAGCTCGGCTGTTTGTAGCTCAATAAGGACGGTGCTTTTTAGTGGCTATTCGGAAATGAATCTGGTAACATCCACCTGTACAGGGGCAACATCCACAACAAAAACGCTAAGGATGGAAATCGCCCACGCAGCACGTAAATAGCAAGTTACGCCATTGAAGATGGGAGGTATACTCACCTCTATTTCTTCTTCAAGTCCAGCAATGACCAAGGGTTCGATGTGACAGGTTTCTCCTGATTTAATCTGGTCACAAATAACCCAAAGGTCGTTATTGTGTGGAAAAGAAGGATAAGAAGGCAACCAACAAGTTTAAAATTGACAGAAGTGACTAGTTGCCAATAGGTGATACGCCGTCAGTCTGACGTAGGTAAAATTAGGGAACCTAACATTAGACTGCAACATAGGGAACGGAAGCAGCTATCGACGTCTTGCGGTAAAGAAAGAACTGAGCATATGGTTTACCGCATCAATTTGACTATCAGCAATGCCTAAAGGCCGAATCGGTGTGTGAATGAATGAAGGAAAGACAGGATTGGAGGAGTGCAAATAACGAAGTGTAAGGATGAAGGGACATTAAGAACCCGTGAAACGGGACAGAATGAGAAAACAAATCAAATTATCAGAGGGAATCCATCGCTGCCGGACGAGTGCAAGCAAGTAGGAAACCGTTGGTGGAGTGCGCGGTGTTGCCAGCGGATGGAACATCTACCAAAAACTGAGAATACTCGTGTTCTGATAGGAAATGACAGTGAAAACCACGAAAAATCTTTCCAAACGTACCTATTACATCCTTGCATGACCTCCAGCCATTGCACATGTAAAATAGGATGCATCCCTTTGTGGGCACGGTTTTGCGGTCTATTATACTTCCGATCGACATTCGATAGTTGTGTTCGAACACCGATGCCTCTAAAGTACTGCTAATATCTTATGGGGTAACGAATGAGCAAGTTCAAAACTCGCCGTTTAATGCTTCCTGATGTTACGTTGGTGTGTCTCTGTTGAACTCCAATCAACTTCGGCCATTCGGTACTGTGGTCTGCATTCTGGCAAGCCGGCTACCTCAATGCGTGCAGTATTTGCTGGCAGCCCTCTTAGTTGAACCCATGAAGAGATAAGTCGGTGGAATAGGAAACAGCATGAATAAACTTATCGAAAGGAAGATAAGTGATGCAATGTGGCGGATCCATCGATGGAATTCCCGAAATTAACCCCATCAGTAGTTAGGTTATCTACCAGAGATATAGTGGCGCTCTGGCAATCGGTTCCAGATTACATACACTTAGCAAACCCATCTGATGATCGTAACTTTCATACTCTTCTTGATGTATCACTATTATTAGTGACTGTTGCAGTTATCATTTGTTTGGGAAGGTGAATGAAAGTAAATATTCAGAAAACTTCGGTGCAAAGAACCTAACTGAGTAATCGTAGTGTACCGAAAAGTGCACATTTTGCCACTTCTTTCCAAAAACGATGGCCAAATAAACAGCACAAAAAGTAGGGCAGTACTTGGTTTCGTGAGTTGTTTGGCCCACGTACGTATCCTGATACGGCCCTCGCCTATTCCTAGACCTGTGTGTCACGTATCGACTTTCTGATCTATGGAGGTTCGGAATAATCTGCAAGAAGTGGGCCGAAAGAGCCTAAGGTAATAGATACGAGTAGGCATAAGGTCACATATGGTATTCTAACACGATGAGAAGGGTACACAAGAAGTGAGTCAAATTAGGCATTTTGGTGATACACTCGTTTGCGGTGTTTTGCAATGATAGTACGCAATTCGGGTTCAGATTTACTACACCAGAAAACATTTCCACCGTTCATATTGCTGCGATAACCTGATTGTCTCTGCTGTTGTCAAATGTATGCCCAATGCTGCTACCAAATGATTTAGCCTAGTCTGGTGTCAAAAAGTAGGCGAACAAATAAACAAACTCTGAAAAAGTCAGATAACCTAATACTCCTAGAGTAGAAGAATTCCCAATAACTGGAAAAAGGGTACCAACAGTACACCGGTACGCAGTACCGACACTTTGCTGCTGCGCAACCACCAACAGTCGCGCGTGGACCAAGCATACTCTGCGGGTTGCCCGGCTCGTACTCGGGCCCTCGGATTAAAAGTCAGGCTTATTATCCTTTGGGCTGCGGGATGGCAGTAGAGCACGGTTGAAGACTGTCAGCGTCATGGTTACATCAAACACGAGTGCTCAACTCAAACAACACGCGATGGTGGGCTAGGTAAAAACCAATGCATACCAAAGCACTTTGGCCACATGAATACAGCGTGATAAATGAAACATCTAGCTAAATACGAACATGTGGCGGGTAAATCTAAGGACAGATTAAAAAGGCCAACAATGAAAAATACCATCAGGCATTGCACTGATGTTACGATGCAAAGCTAAACGTTGTTGGGCTTCACAAGGCTAGAAACTAAACTACGAAGGCCTTTGAAGGCCGCTGGTGGAAAATCTAATATGAAGGAGAACATGTCTGGGTAAAAGAAGGTATTTGTCAACATGTAAACGGGGGAGGCAAAAGATGCCTTTTGATTCAAGTAGAGGAAGCGTTTGAATATAACTGGCGATGCTGATTCAGACCTTTTTCGCTAACTGGCGCCATCTCATAGCTTCTGCACGCAGTTGCGACACTTCATCACAAAGTGCTTCCCAGTCAGCAGTGCCTTCACAAATAGCGTCGCCAAAACAGGAGTAATCCTCGCTAGCCAGTTCTACGAAGGGTAAGAAAAGCGAGCATATCGATAAAGTGATAATACAAGTGAGATTACGCATAAACAGATGCATCTACTTCTCAAACAGCCAAGGATTCAGTGTTTAAGATTGACACAGATGGGCTAGGCACGAATGTAAGCCTGAGGGGAAACAGGGAGCGTTGGATGAAGTGTGAAAATATGCCGAAGAGAGGACGATACGTGTGCAATGGCTGTTGTGGTTCCGTGCTTTGACTCTCATTATGTGGAGGGCTGCTGCTCTGATCTCACCCATCGGGCAAATGGCGAGAAGCTTGGGTTGACTGATCGGCTCATGCAGTACCAGCATCTAGACCATCCTTATCTGCATTTTGAGTTGAACTAATGAATACAGGAAAATAGCATCCACATCGACGGGACAGTGCATATAGAAACGTGAATACGTATACTACATAGATATGGATGCGTAGAGTGCCAAGTTAACTCTGTATAGTTCAAGTGCCAGCCGGACTTTGATTGTGGACTTCGGGGACACTACCTTACATCATCGAAACTGTTGCCGGGTGTCAGCGCAGTTAAAATAGTCAAAACAAACAACGAATGAAAAATACAAGTGCCGGCTGTAATGGTAAGAAGGCCTGACGAGAAAGTTATACAATCGTCCTCCCATGAAAGGGAGGATGTATATTTCCTGTGAAGCGTAGTGATTGGTATGGAACAAAATGAAGACATGATACCCTCAGAGGGGTTGAATGCGAAAAATCAGTGGTAGCGCCTACAAGATGGAGTAATTTAACAAATACGTGAGAACAGTACGAATGGTGATGCAACGATTGATCAATGCAACCAAATTCACTTCAATGCATGATAGTGAACGGAAAACCGGCATCTTCGGTTGCCATTAAAATGAAAACAAAGAAAAACGAAGACAAACAACCACAAACAACACAGAAGCATCCGCAATAGGAATACTATGATAGGAAGAATGCTAGCCAGACTGAACAGGACGAATTCAGGAGTACGCTGACTTCATCCACCGATGGAAACCAACCCTAGTGTTGATGCACGGTGGCAGAGATCTCGGTACAGCAATGGATCGATGGGGCAATAATCAACAGCATCAACACATAGTAATATCTGTCTGAAACCAGCAATTTGTAGGTCAATAGAGGAAATGACTAGAAAGTGGATTGAAAGCCGAAATAATGAAACACCTATGCGCACTGAGTAAACTACTTGCCAACAACATCGTCACAAGCGGCTGGCTAGCGTGCGAAGAAAAAATGGCGCCAGCCAAACAGACTACTTGTGACTTTCGATATTCCGGTGCATTATCCTTAGTGTGTCACTGATAGCACTGCAAGATGCAGGTGATCCAAAGGGGATTATATTCGGAAAATGTATGGTTGTAGCTGACACGACCCGCTTCCTTTACGGTGTGACAAAACGGAACAAGCCGAAAAAGCACTTCCCGAATTAAGGAAGCTGGAGATTGAACTGAATGACATGAAAACTATGACACCTTCGTCCTCATGGATGTCGACTTCCCCAAATGTACTGCTTACCGAAGATCCATAAGGAAGGCGTTCCCCTACGTTCAATCGTTGCAACGGTTGGCGCACCATATCAAAAGTTGTCACGATGGTTAGTCGAACTTACTGAACATATTCAGCGTGAACTAGCCGGGTAGTCTCAAAGATACGTTCGAACTGCTCAACAAAATACGGCATTTGAACTTAAAACGGAAATCTTGTCTCGTTTGATGTGCGTTTAGTATTCACGAGTGTTTCCTTAGAATAGACTCTGGCCATAATAGGCGTGTACATGCCTGTAAAGTTCGGTTCGTATCCGAAACCGCCATTACGTTTGTACGCCAAGGACGTCGTTTGGGTTCAACGGCACCCTGTATCAACAGACTGATGGTGCAGCCATTGGCCGTCCATTTGTACCTGTTTTGATTGATATCTTTATGGGCCCCCATGAAAACCCTAGCTACATCCTCATATAGAAAAAGTGCATTCCTATAGTCGCTAAACAGAGCACACTTCCGTCATCGTAAACATTGCCGAACAAGCAGAATACCTACTGAGCTCTAAAGCACTGCCACCCCCGAAACCGAATTCACAATTTGAAGCATTGAGTTCCCTGTATTAACTTGAACAGCACAATGCGAAGACGAATGGCGCATGATGGTACCATTTCGTGCCCTCTGTTCACTTGCAAACGGACAACGTATCAAATGATAAGGTGACAAAAAGAAATCAATAAGTTGAAAGCGTGAGGTCACATGCAAGCGAAGTAAACGTTGGCTACAGGTTGAGGAGGAATTATTAACTCCAAGGGAGTTTGAGCGTAACGAACAGTTGCTTCTGGACGCACAATGTTGGAGAATGCTTTTTTATGGCTATTGCCACGGCAAACTTGAGGACTCTGGCGTTACGATAGGTTAGACTAAACGTCGAATTGGGGTCCACCTGATGACTCGTTTCCATCAGGTGTTTCGCAATCGAAGTGGCAGGTATGCTGTTTGTCGATACAGGTCCCGTTTGCGGCTGCCTTGTAAAGATAACGACACGCTTTCGAATGTGCTCCCCAATCCGCTTACACATGCAACGGTCTGTTCTGCCGATGTAACTGCTTCTACAGTTACAAAGAAATCGATAGATACAGTGCGTTGTGGCGGAGAACGGCTTAGTAGGCTTGACTGGGGGCAGTGGCAGCTTCTTGGTTGTCCAGATAAGGCAGAATTTAGCGGCACCGAATGCACACCGTATTGCAACTGCTGTACGTCGTTCTACCTGCCTAGCCAGAACATCCCCTTTGAAGGGTAGTCGCAGATAAACAGGCATTTTTGGTACAGTAAGAACGAGTCTTCTAGTGCCTTCCATTCTTTGGATGTTAGCCCTAAAAAAGCCCAGCAGTACACTCACTCAAGCTGTGAGTCACAAACCTAAATGGATAGCAGAGTACCTTAATTATAACAGTTCCTGTCCAGTGAATTAGAAACAAGTTCGGGTTAGTGAGGGCTTTGCAACAGCTCGCCAGATGTGCTCTGAGGAAGCGATCGAATGTGAGCTACATTACGTGAAAAGTTTATAGCATGCCACTAGAATGTGAACGCGGAGATTAAGAAAGAACGGATGGCGAAAAAGAAAGTAAAATATGAAGCAAGTGTTCACAACGTAACAGTTCAAAGAAGAGAAAAATGACAGATTTTAACCGTCCCCGTCAATCCATAAAACGTTACGCTGCTGAGCATGTAGTTTTGCATCTCGATGTTAAGTTATCGTTCAAATTCATCCTGGACATTTACTTATGCTGTCACGTTTCTTTGCGAACCACATTTGTCGTGCTTCGCGACATCAAAGCGGCTTTCGATTCGACTGATCGATGTGCCCTTTGGGACTACCTAGTGAGCAAAGGTATGCCCGATAAATATGCAAATGTCATAAGAGTGATGGTCGCGCATAGTTCGGGCAGGTGGGTTTACGAAAAACTGTCGCCGCCCTTCAATATCTCCAGCGGTGCGAAACAAGGTTGCCCGCTGTCACCTTTCCTCTTCAACTTCGCCATTGACGAAGTCATGGAAACGGCGTTCGTAGGGCACGACTTGGGTGTGGAGCTCCTTCCAGGTGACCGACTTCTTGACTCCGAGTATGCCGACGACACTGCCCTCATCTGCGACAGCTCCCAAACGTGCAAAGCAGCCCTGGACCGAGTCGCACTGGCTGTCAATCGTTTTGGGCTACGTCTCGCTCCATCGAAATGCAAAGTCCTTCTCCAAGATTGGCAGGAACCCACATCTGCGCAGACTCTTGGTGGTGATCAGCTGGAATTCGTTCAGGAATTCAAGTACCTGAGCAGCTAAAAAGTGCCCGTCTGATCGAAGATGTGGTTACGAATCATATAGCAAAAGCGCGAGGTAGTTTTGCTAATCTCCGGCACCTGTTGCGCCGACGCGACCTCACTCTCACTTTAAATGACAGAGTTTACAATGCAGCCGTCCATTCAACCCTCTTATAAGGTTGTGAAACCTGGCCTATCAGGTCGACAGACATAAAGAGGTTAGTCACGTTCCCGCATCTTGGCTTTCGCAGCTTAGCTCACGTCTGGTGGGAGCACCGTGTGAGCAGGAAACGTCTTCAGCGCCGCGTCTTCGGTGGGGAAAAGGCGAGTGAACCCCTCAGCACCAGTATATCACGTACCAGGCGGATGCCCGGCCTACGTGTTGCGCATACCAGGACACCGACTCCCGCATTGTCCGTTGTTTGTGCGCCGCGGGTGCGGCTGGAAGATGAGGAGAGGATGCTAAGAGACAACTTGGTCGAGAGAAAGTAAAACCCTCACTTCGAAGTTGGCGACGGTTGGTGCATCCCGACTGTCTGGCTGGGGTCCTAATGACGAGGAACACGTTTGGTTGGACACAGTTGCTGATATGGTGAAGATCCGGCCCCAATGGCGATTGTGTTGTGAGTTCCTATGTACATCCCCTCCCTTTAGATTCCTCCTCTAATTATGACCACACGCGAAATATATAATGTAATAAATAGCATTACATTACTAGTGCATTGTTAGAATTTTTTAGTGTAACTTTTAGAATCTTATCTTTTTGAATTTCGGCACATTAGATAAGGTGGACTGGTGTTGAGGACATTTGCCTACTTCACTGTACTTACGGTAGCGAGCACGCCGGCCTAACTGGGAGGAGAGCGTCCACAAAGATCATAGAGCATATTTTGAGACACCTAGTCGCGAATGGTCCAAATCCGCCCGCTAGTTCGATCACCGGACACATGCATGCATTTCGCATTGTATTTTCAACACCATCAAAAATAGTCAATAAGCATAGATACAGCTACCATCGGATGCAGTCAGACAAGTTTTGGTGCGCAGAGTAAATGACCTAAGTCAAACGCTAAGTCCGGGACAGCATTAAACGAGGAAATAATTAATTTGAACATACACCACTGGCTTCATTCGACTTATAGCGACGGCCTCAGAAAATCGAAGGAATAGGGGAT